GAACTTGGTGAGCGTACACTCTGTCTCCTTGTCCAGGTCATTGATGAATAAATTGAACAGGACCAGGCCGAGTACCGAGCCCTGGGGAACTCCACTAGCTACCGGCCTCCAACTAGACTCTGCCCCGCCGATCAGAACCCTCTGAGCCCTGCCATTCAGCCAGTTCCCAATCCACCTCACTGAGACTCAGGTGAATCCAGTCACCAGCCTTCTCCTATGACCTGATATAAAATAAACTTAGTTACATGTTCTTTCTCAGAGCTGTGACCTAGACTGGTGAAATGCCAGTCAAGATGATTGGACTGAAAACTAAACACCTTAAAGTTTAGTACCGAGATCCAGAACTTCACAGAAATTTCTAAATCAGAAGAGACAGAGACAGGAAGACTGGGGGTGGGGGTGGGGGTGTGTAAAAAAAAACCAAAAAAAAAGACATTTTTGCTTGTTTATCTAGCAAGATGTGCTTTGCAGGAAAAAGAAAAAAAAAGCAAAATGAACAAAAAATTCTTAGGATAATACTCAGCAAAATGAGGACATCTCTCATAAACACCAATGATACATTTCTAGTTGAGCTCAGTGGCTGAGTGTACTGGAATTAAACACCCAGTTCCCATTGTAGCTTTTCTTCTATTGCATCTCCTCTGTACACATAGAAAAGAAAGGAAAACTAAATGTGGTTAACTCAAAGAAGCTTTTGATATCATGCACAATCCTGCAAATTAGGTCACTTTTCTAGGGGATGACAGAAAGCACAGGTACAATCTAGGAGAGCCAGTATGGGAAGGGCAGAACTCTTATATTCACTTATATTGGGCTTCACCAACGATTTAACCCAAACTTGCCTTATGTAACACTGTGGAGATTCAAGCTCATATTTTGGTAGGGATTTCAAGCAAAGATTCAGTGTATTGAAGAAATGAAAACTTGGCCCTTTGCTGTCTCTTAAGACGGACCAAAAAGGTAGTAAAAATGAGATTAATATGGGAAAAAGAAGGGTCTTTATCTTCTTGGTACCTTAAAAAGGGAAGCAACTGTGGACATGAATGCCTGTCATAGCTAACAACTACTTTAAAATATTTTATGTATATCCAAACTGAATATGCTTGCAGAAGGGTCCAGCAACAAAACCAATTGATTAGTTAGGGTGAGAGCAATTACACCTTTTGAATCCTTTAAAAAAAGTTATGTTATGAAAATGGTGACAAGTAAAGTTTAAATTTTGAGTGTACTTTAAAAAAAAGAATGTAAATGGATGGAAAATGAAATTGAGTCAGGGCAGAATATTTTAAATTATATTCTTTAACATCTTATTATCAGAATTTTGCTGTACTGGTTAATCAGGGACACAACAGCAGCTGGGGCAGTAACTTGGTATTGTATTGTAATTATACAAATAGCATTTAACTAAGACCAGGGATAATGGTTTACTTTCAGATTTACATATGCTTTTAAATTATATTACTTACCATGTGAAGTTTTAAAGATCTTAACAAGAAAAATCCCAACATCTAAAGATCTCAAGATTCCAATTTGAATGAGGGTCCTATGTGTGCGATAATTTCTTGAGAATTTATTGCTTGTCAGGCATGGAATATTTTAGATTCCCTAACAGAAGACTTGATGTTTCATATCATTACATAGTGGATACATATTTGTGTGGTCCAAGAACCTGAATTACTGGGCTATGCAAAATAGTCAGGATTTTGAAAAGCATTGTAAGCTAAAAATGTCCAGTTAAGACACAGAAATGCTTTTATCCCAGCCACTGACAAATATATTAACTATTTATACCTGTATTATGTTTAAAAAATATTAACATAACAGTCATGCAAATGCTTCCATTTTCCTTGCATTTGTTTGTTTCAGGTGAGTTGGATCTAAGATAAAGAAATAGGCAAAAACTGTCACCAATTTTTAGATAAGAAATTTAACATCGAAAGGTTACGCCACTGAGACAGGATCACTATTAATATGAAACAGAAAGCTTTAAGAGTTTTTTTATTTATTTGAGAAATCATTATATAAAACATTCAAATTCCAGATAAAGAAGAGATAAAGTATTCTGGTGTTTAAATACAATTACTCACTATTATTCCTGGTGTCCTGAGTCGTGCTAAAATGGAGAGAAACCTTAGCACTTTTTAGGCGTATCTGACCCCAACGTGTTACTGCCTGCAGCTCTACATTGTAGTTGCTGTTGGGTTGGAGTCCCTCCAGGACCACATAATTTTGGGCCTATAATAGAGGAGAATAAATATACAAAGTAGTTATAGTATTACTGAAACACAGGCCCTTATTAAAAGCAGGCCTGTTATCTTAGGCACACTACTTTTTTGAAATTAGAAAAGAAAACTCATATATAAATTTCAACAGAGCAAAATTTCCTTTCTTTAAATGATATCTTTTACTGGACTCTGGTTTTCAGTGTAATTTTAAAAATACTAAACTTCTTGATGTTTATGTAATTTTGGCAATTACTTGGCAAATACAGACACCTATTGTTTAGGTCAAAACTAAAGTGACTTTTTTACATACAACAAGTTTTTTTCTTATGCCAAAATTGTTTTAGCCAAAGAGATTTAAACTTTTTATTCCCCAATTTCTGTTTTAGCAAAGCAATTGAAAACTTCTAGAGACAGTCAGTCTGAAGATGATAGTTAAAATCCAACATTCAGTACATTTGTCAATATTTTCTATGTGTTTCAACTGTTGAAAACAAAAAATGAAAAAAAACACCAAAACCATGAACAAAAATACCCCCTCATTGGTAAGAACACTTTTCCACTATAGAATGGAACACAGAAAAGGCAAAATAGTTTCCATTGTCATGGAAGTCTCTTAAATGGGGAAACACCAGCATAGAATTATCATTCTCCAGTGAATAATCCATAAATTAAGGCAAGTCCCATGATACTGCAAAGAGCAGCCAAGGCTTCTCAGTATTCTTACATTTCTAAATTTTTTTTTATGCATTTATAAAAATGTCCTTCTAGCCTGTATCTCAGAAAGAAGACATTACATCATGCTTTCATTAGAATATTGTGCCTCTCAGGTTTGACAGTCAATCCGGTGTGAAAAAGATAACCACATACTGCCATATTTAACACTTCAGGGATTGTCAAAAGCATTTCATATCAATTACCTGTACTTGTTTTGTGCTGAGATATTTATAACATTGACATAATGCTCAATTAACAGTATTAATATTGTAGTAAAACTATTTAAATGGCTACCTGGAATGATTTCACATGGAAATCATTATAAAATTATTTGGACTAGACTACATCTAAAGGTAAAAACTGCACAAAAAAATCAATGATCTTTAAAAACAAGATTTTTCCACCTTTATTTTATTGTTTTTTTAAGTTTTCTGCAGTTTTAACTTTTAGACAGAAGAGTTGCTATAATATTGAAGGGACCATCGATTAGCAATAGTCTCATGAGTGTCCTGTGGGGGAAGTTTGAATCTCACTGGCATTGCCCTACAGTTCCATGACATGCTGCAGAAGAAAAAGTACAAGCCAGGAGTAATATAAAAGATATTCTAAGAGCCTGCCTTTTCTCTAAAATATGCCTTGGCTCTTCTGAATTTTCCTACATTCAAGGTCAGAACTTGGTCCCAATTACTGTAATGTTGTATATTGGATGTGGTTTAACATATTCATATGTAGGATGTACCCTACGCAAAGTGCCAACACAACATTAAGGAGCCAGATAAATTTTAAAATTGTCTGGGTTTTGTGATTTAAGTACCAGCTTGTAGACAGAAAGCTCCCCTGTATCTTTAGGCTGTAGCCTCTGCCATGAAGATCTCTAGCCCATGGCAGCTTTCCTGAGAAACACGGATTTTTCTACCTAGCACAGTCCAACCCTACTCCTATCTTGCCAAAGTGATTTTTTAAAAGTACAAGAAAGAGCTAACTTTCTTTTCTATGCATACTTTTTTTTTTTTTAAGTATTTAACTGAAGTAGAAACAAAGAACCAAGTTATCTCAGTCCCTGAAATTACTCCATATTGCCTACATTTGTGGGGAAATTTCCTCTTCCTGCCTGCCCAGCACAGAGCTGGTGGTGGTGGCTCTGCTGTTTCTGGACCCTGATCACCCATCAGTTTCCACAAGATGGCATGGGTCCAGCAGGCTCCCATGGTGGTGCCTCTGCTGTGCCCAATCTGTTGTAGATGAACTCAGCACACAGCCTTCATTGCCTTTACTTTTCTCAGGGTTTGGTGACTGAGGGACAGAGAGGGAACTATAACCCTCTGGCTGTCATTCAACAGAGTGCAAGTGGGAAGCCAGAGCCAAAACACAGTGTTAACATAGACATGGGACCAAATTCTCACAACACATTTATTAAAAGCACTGAGAATTAATATCAGCCTGTTACCTGTAATTGATTTCTGTTTCTAAGTACTTCAAAATAATATGCAGCATCCTTAAGCATATCATAACAGAGAGTTTTCCAGTAAAGCAACATTTGATACATCATTCAAGAAACTCATAGAGACTTGCTGCTACGGAAATATGTCAGGTCGTTGATGCAGCAGCTTATTTAAAGAGTTTTGGATTTGTTTTTTTCATTGGACCTATGCTGACTATCTAATAGTTATTTTATATGATGGTGTCAGAAGCTTTATTTGCATAGTGAAAGAACAATGTGACACATGATGCTAGGCTTTTTAAATAAAACAAGAAGTGTATCTTTGAGAAGCACTAATAAAATTAGTCTGAATTTAGAGGACAAACAACAAACTTTCTATTCATCTCTCCTGCAAAATCTTATTGTATTTACCTCCATTTTAAGGCAGAAGTCTACTTCTCTCCCCGAGTTCAGCAGAAGATAGATATTGAGAGATCAAATTTGTCTATGGTGTTGGTGATATTAAAAATTAAGACCACCACTTCACCAGCTGCTGATATCATTGCAATTTATCACATATTTAATACTTACTCTCTATTTTGTGCCAGAAATAAGCCATATTTCTGTCTCATTTACTATTTTCTTTCTTACCCCATCGGTAATCTTCCTTCTCTTTTTTTTAGCTGGGATTACGTATTTGCTATATGTCCAGCTCCAGAAGACTTTGTAGTGGTGCACTGGGATATCAGGCTCTTCTGGAAGATCCCAAGTAATAATTACATTTACACTCCCATCATTGTTTGCACTGATATTGGCAATTCTGATATTAGATGGAGCTGGTGGAGCAGACGGATCTGGAATTTAAAACAAAAAAAAAGATTCTTAAAGTAAAGCTCATCTTCAATAACATGAAGATTATCTTCATATTATGTATTTACTGGGCATACACAAGCTGGATTAAACACTCTCAATACACTGAAGAAAATTCAGGCAAAAATTTCCCATAAGTGGTACGGCTCCTTGTAAATTCTAGAATTTCAAGCTCTACTGAAATAAAAAATATGGGTTAGCATCTAGTTTTATCATTATTCTGTGCTGTTGATAGTTCACAAATATTATGAAGCTTTATCCAAATGTACTAGACTACCAGTTTTACTTCTGTCATTCACTACTTTAAATACATAGTGAGTGTAAAACATTTGTGTTCTAAAGGTGGCCTTGTATAGGCATCACAGAATTGTACGGTGGAAACACTGAATATTTTTTTGGTGTTGCCAGACAATTCTCAGATGAAAAAATTATGTTTCTACATGTTGAATCTTTCTTCAAAATTCTAGTATTAAAATCTACCATCATAGGACATAAACACTTCCTTAGAATAAATATAATTAAATCTAAAGGGTTTTTTAGAAGAACAAAAAGAAACCAGTTACCCCTGTGATTTATTTCCCTATCCTGATTTAATTTCTGGTCAATAACAACTGAGATATTATTCCTTTAGTTGCCTCTGTGCTGATGCTAGAGTCAAGAAGGACACCTGACAGTCAGAGGTTCCAATATTGAATCTTTTCCAATATTGAATGTTAGGTCCTCCTTGTGGACCTACTATATAATATCCTGGCCCTGAGTAATGTGGATCAATGGAAATTTTGCAACCAAGCTTCTGAAAGTCTAATTTGCTATTTACTAGTGGAAACACTGAATATTTTTTTGGTGTTGCCAGACAATTCTCAGATGAAAAAATTATGTTTCTACATGTTGAATCTTTCTTCAAAATTCTAGTATTAAAATCTACCATCATAGGACATAAACACTTCCTTAGAATAAATATAATTAAATATAATTAATAATTATAATTAATAAAATGATTTATTATGATGGCATAAAAGTCTAAAGGGTTTTTTAGAAGAACAAAAAGAAACCAGTTACCCCTGTGATTTATTTCCCTATCCTGATTTAATTTCTGGTCAATAACAACTGAGATATTATTCCTTTAGTTGCCTCTGTGCTGATGCTAGAGTCAAGAAGGACACCTGACAGTCAGAGGTTCCAATATTGAATCTTTTCCAATATTGAATGTTAGGTCCTCCTTGTGGACCTACTATATAATATCCTGGCCCTGAGTAATGTGGATCAATGGAAATTTTGCAACCAAGCTTCTGAAAGTCTAATTTGCTATTTACTAACTCCTACTTTTTAATCCTACTTTTTAAGTCCTTCTTTTTTTTTTAAATGCCCATGGTAGCCAAACATTTGTGACAAGATATAAGGAAACTGCAAAAAAAAAATTAAGTAAAAGTAAACAGTGTGACTCAAAAAAAAGTATATCAGGCAGAATAAAGGAAATTCATAGTAACTAAGGCATGTTATGAACCTGTAGCCAAGAAAAAACAATCTGATTTAAAAAAACATTTTCATAAAGCTTTTTAGCCAAATGAGCCACCACTTATTTGCCAGAAATAAAACTGGAGGTGTGCCGTGCGGACACCAGGCATTCATTTACTGCATGGTTCACCTGCATCTTTTTATAATGGTAAATGAGCTGTTAAGTAAACTTTCCAGGCATACTAAATTCATCAGATAATCCCTATGACAAATGGTCTTCCTGAAAAATTCCATCATTTAGGTCATGCAAACTGACACATTCAGAATTAATAAAGACAGCATTTCCTTTTTAAAGATCAGCAGATGTGAAATAATGGCTTATTCCTGTTATTTAACAGGACTCTTGGTTAAATAACAATGGATGCCCCTGTTTCCTCACACATATAATTCAACCTAAGTTTTGGCTATAAAAGTTACAAAGCATATTTGAGTTTAAGAATTCTGGAAATTTAAGTTATTCTTCAAAATAATGAGAATTCCTTATTTTTTCTCACTCATTTTTTTAATCATCTTGAAAGCCAGTTCCCTCTATTTTTTTCTGGCTTTGGAGAAGCACTGTCCTTACACTTATTTCCTTACTTGTGAAGTAGCCAACAACTCCATCTTAAAATATACAAAGCTATTTCTATTGAAGGGGACAAATTTAAGAGATAATTTAGTTAAATGGTTTGTACTGTTCTGTAACACAACTTTTCATTTACTTCTATAGTTTAATAAAATAAGTAGACATAAAATGAAATTTAGGTACAATAAATATAAACAGAATCATGATTGATAAATCCAAAATCCTTCATCTTCACTGAATTAAAACGTTAGGGGGGAGTTATGTTATATGACAATGTATTATGGCAATAAAACATTTATAACCCGAAGTGCAACATGATCATATTACTGTAGGTGAATTATTCAGGTTATCTCCCAGAAGTACTATGCATCATGTATTATGTATAAATAACATATTGGGTAGAATTAAAATGTTTCAGAGAATGTCTTCACAAACGGTCAGATATAAGCAAAACCAATTCTAACCATAAAACTTGTTTGTCTACATTGTGCATCTATAAAAGGCTCTGAGAGTAATTTAAAAAAATCTAAAAGTTAAATGAAATAGCTCTTCTGGACAAAGTGTATTGCGTAATTAAAAATATTTTAAAATTCTAGTCACCAATTTTCATAGGTCTCAAAGCAAATGACCAAATTTACGTTCTTCCTTTTCAGATGCTTTTGTCCCCATAAGGATGTAAGATTGTGTGTAATTTTCCTTGTCTAAAGTTAGCTATTGACCAGAATGGAGCTTTTGTATGTCTCAGAATCACAGGAATTTGTTTTTCTTTTAAGGTAACTTCAAACATCCCTGTTTTTCCCAGTAACATAAGCAGATAAAGAAAACAGTAAGGAAAAAATATATGCATACTGAAACCAACCAGAACATTTCTTCTGACTTCTACAGTACCAGCATTTCACCCTGTACTTTTTACAATTGCACCGTTTATTGAAAACATTACTTTTTCAGTAGCTTTAATACTGTGTTTACTAGAAACAGTCCAGTCAGCAGACAAAATGCTGATGCATATTTAAAAGAAAATCTAGTAGTGTTTCTCCTTTGCTATGGGAGAATGTAAACATTGTATTAAAAATCATTGGGTAACTACAGTTAAGGAAAGAAATAACATGCTCTTAAAGGGAATATACAAGTGAAATAATATAGCAATAGCAGAAACATTTTCCAGACTTTCCCCTTTCTTCAAGTCTCTCATTTGCAGGCCTTACAAATATCATCCACAAAAATGCCTCTGTACAGGAGGAAGAGTGGTGGTGGTAGCAGCAGAAAACAGAAAGGAAGGAGATCTGCAGTTGACCGACATGAAAAGGTGAGACATTTGAAAGTGCCACATTTTCTAGAAGAGCTTTTTTAAAACTAGTAGACTTAGCTGGAGAAAATAAAAGAAAAGAAGGACATAAGATGGCAAAGATGAACAAAACTTAATTTATTACAGTTTTACATTTAATCATCCGATAAAAACCTGCCTGATTGTAGAGATACAACACTCACTTAGTGAGTGTTTTATACCAGCTGAGGATCAATTTCATATTAAGTATTTCAATATAACTATATAATTTATTCTTCTATTTCTATATATTTCTGTGACATTCATCACTATTACAACTGACAGGACTATAATTTTGTAAGCCAAAAACCCAAGAGTATTAATCTTTTCTTTCATTTGAAAGGATTGAGTTTCACCAGCAAAACAAACAGGTGAGAAGGAATTGCAGCAAGGTAAGATATTGTCATCTCTGTTATTAATAGGGAAAAAACCCAAACGACCCCAAAAAACCTCAAAACCAACCAAAAAACCCCCCTAGAAACCTCCCCAGGCCTCTCAAAAAAATAGCCCCCCCAAAAACCAAAACCCAAAAAACTGTTAAGTATAAGAGCATGCTCCTCCATAATGCACGCCTGCCAGCTACCAGATAACAATTAGTTGTTTTTTTCTGACTTTTTTAAGCCTTCATTACTGCACTATCAAATGGAAAAGTCATGCTTCTACAAGGTGGTCTGCTATGCTTATGTCTATGCAGACATTAAACACAGTGTACAACTCATGCTGAAATACTTCAAGGTCTAATAACTGGTACTGGATTCTAAAGCTTATATATATAAGGTATTTGCTAACCTGACAATGAAGCTAAACTGGCATTCTGCTGACTATAAAGCTACCAGCCATTCTACTGTTAGTCTTCATATATCTGTGATCCCTTTGACTGACTGCCCACATGTATAATTCAGATACATGAACATTAAATTACTGGAATGGAAACTACTGCCAGTTTTTCAAATGTGAAGTCCTGAAATTTTATATACATGTATTTATCTGAGTGTTAAATCAAATTCTTTGGTTTGCAGAAAGAGTGATGCTAGTTGCAGCTTTTCCTTCGCAGTTTATACTACAACTCAAATAAAACAAAAGTCATTATATATATACTAGAATTTGGCACAGACAGCTGTCCTCAAATCCGAAAAAATTCTGGTCTCAGCAGCCTGACAAGTAAATCACTTCTCACTGCTAGAAATGATAGCTTCATTAGGTCAAGGCTGAGGCTGCTGTTCCAGCACATGGAGTAAGTACTGCATTTGTCTGGATTCTATCTGGCTTGAGTATACCCAAAGGACTTAAATTCTTGTCTTGCTGGCTACTTAGCCATCACAAGCAAAACTCTGTCTCCGGTCCCCAAAAGGGAGGATATCTTGCTGCAAATAAAAGAAAAATAGAAAACCGTCACATCTTCACCATTTCTAAATGCACATCTTCCCACACTCATATTTGTAAACACAGTGATAGACAATTTATATTGTACAAAATTCTTTCCATCAACAGGATCTGGAAGCACTTTGGAACCTTAACAAAACAGTATGGGCAAGCTGTACACAAGAGTCACATCATACACTGCTGCAACGCATCCACTTTGGCTTTACATGTGGCAACTGTAATGAAAACAGCAAATGATTTGGAATACATGTCAGAGAGGAAAATAATGACATTGGAACCAGGATTCTCATTCTGAGCTGCAAAAGTGATAGCAAGTTTGACTCTAATTTAAATGCTTTTTTATAGAGCTTTAGTTTTTGACTTAAAATGGATCTCCCGTTGCTATCTTTTAAACATTAAACCTTCCAACTCTAAAATGCTGAAGCTGCTCTACAGACAAGTTTCCAACCATTAAACAATTCCAAGACATAAGTGGGGGGACTGGCTTTGCCCAATGAATATGGCACACATAAGCCAGCTGTGCAACAGTATAAAAAAATCATTGGTCCCAAAGGAGCAACAGAAAGAATTTTATTGCCAGAGTGGGTGTCTGTTCTGGTTTTACTAACACTCAGTAATGTATGCATGAAATCACATCCAGCATGGTACTTATGTGCTGTGAAAACAATGTTGTCTGCTTCCTTTTGCTTGACAATTTTTCCTATGTATGCTAGCAACTACCTTCATGTTGAAGATAAAAACCTTTAACAGAGGTAGAAAGATCAGATGGTTTGGGCTCCTTGCGTTCATCTTATACCCTCTTTTTGTCTTAGAAAATGGCACAGTACCTAACTACAGACCAGCAAGATAATATATTATATGGAAATGCCCAACACGGATCGCTCTAGTTAACTGCAGTCTCTGTTGCTGAGAGTTCATTCTCATCATAAATCATAAAAAGCTAGAAAAAAATAGCCTAAAAAACTCTTACCCAAATGCAACAAATTAAAAGCTGTATTAATAGTGGCAAACAGCTCCTGAACAGTTGGATTAGGCTATTCGGTGCCTGCTTAATGGGAGAAAAGAACAGGTAGCTTTTAATCCAAGGAGACTCATTTATGGGTTGTAGGGACAGTCCCCTCTTGCTTCCAGAGAAAATGAAGCAGCTTGGAGAGAGCCAGTCAAAATTTGAAGAGAAATATATTTGTACCTTTGGGGATCAAAAATGTTCTGCCAGGCATTTGTTAGCTTTATTTATGGCTGTTATTGCAAATTGTTGCCACTCAGTGTAAGATTAAAAGGAAAGCACATGCAATTTAAAAACCCTGAAAAGGGAAGAGGAAATCACTGTCAAAATAGCAGAAAGTTTTGATGAATTTTAGCTGACAAGTATCAATCTGAAAACCCATGTGCAGAGTTTCTAGGAAAGAACCCACTCTCCTATGTGCAGTATTCACTTCATCTTCTAGCCTCTCTGCTCCAAACAGATAGGTACAGTCTAATCTGTGTTTCTTGTAATTCTGGAATTGCATTTTGGCAAAATGAAGTGTCACTTCATTCCCTGCGAAGGGCCGTACCAGGCAAGCACATGCAAATCCTTCATTTCCTTTGTTAAATAGAAATAAAAAGCATAAAGAAATACTCTCTGCTTAAGCTCTGAATATTTCATAATTTCTTGTATATATAATAATTCCATGATTATTTATTATTTACAAATTAATGCCATACATGAACACATGAGGCAGCGTAAAACAGCCTTCACCTCAAATGTTTACAGTATAATCAAAAGCTGCAGTAGATAAAACCTCAAAAACACAGCTAGATGGAGAATGGTAAGCTGGAATGCTCAGTGAAATACTCCTGTTTTCCTGTTTTTATGTTTTTCATGACTGGGAAATTAAACTAATTTGGATAATAAGAAGCTTTATTTAGTGATAGAAAAGTTAATGGAAATGACATACCTCAGAAGACTTAATATTATTTTGAATAAAACAAAACCTTACTTTGCCATGTCTACTTAGAGATCATATTTTTTGCATTTGCAAAAGACACGAAATAGTATAAAACAGTATTGTGGTAACCAAACAAAAAGTCTCTCTCCAAGTAATTACAGCACCAATGTTTTTGAATGTTCTTTTTAACAGCTTAAAATATTTAGTGACAGAGACTTTGTGGTGCCATACTTCTCCCTAGATTCAGATTATATATCACGTTTGTCCTCCTTCAAAGAAAAAACAAACCCAAATAATTTGCTATTCGTTTTAACTTATGAGCAATTGGTAAAAGTTCAGTATCTTGTGTGAGAAACTGTCTTAGGAATTGCTGTCATGTTTCCTGATCAAAGGGTTTCATTTTGAAGAAAACTTCTGTTAAGTCTGACGAAGATAATAATCTTCTCTCGGTCTTGGCACAACAGGGTGAATTGAAACAGTACAAGAACTAAAGTGAATTTCTGTCTGCACTTCACACAAACGTAGCACAGAGAGTCAGCAACCTTCTAAAGGTGATGTGCCAAAGTCCGCTTTCCTTTTCCAAACTGGAGGTTAAATGTGCCTGTAGGAGCTCAGCAGGGGCCAGTAGATGCTGGCACTCAAAATTTAGCTAGGCACATCTGAGCAGCAGTTTCTTGCCTCTCTGCCAGGCAGGGGCCACCACTTCCCACTGAGCTCCAAAGTAGTAATTAAATGTCTATATGACACTATAACTGTTACTGCTATGACTGTCTCCTCAGAGACATGGGGGCTAAGAGATACGGACTGAAGCATCCCAGTATCATTCCCGACAATCACCACCCAGCAGCGTCTTCATCTGTGTCACCTAGCACTTCTACACATTTCACCTGGTGAACGTGGTATCTTTGTAATAACCATGCACAATACCAAAGCCTCTAAAATAGTCAAATGAGCTGCCAGAATAGGATGATTTTGGCTACAAAGCTGATAGCTAACTGAACTCCTTGCTGTTTGTTTGGCAATTCACGATTCTCTGCCAAGGGCTGGAGTTTAGATTTGAAATTTGTTATTTTGAGGGTTACAGAAGCCTTTTGAACAATGCTGGCTACATACTTCCTGCCACTATGAAGATACCGTTATTTCAGCTTATTAGGTAAGACTGTGCGGCGGTTACTGGCTCCTGCTGTCCTTGTCACAAAGTCCTGCAAGTGCTCCCCACCTCCACCAGACCACCGTGAGCAGCACTTAGGGAGAGCAAGTGCTTCAGGGGTAGCTGCAGAGACCACAGAAAAAGAGGACTTTGGTATCTAACATGTAATCATTTCAAAACCACAAGCTCCTGAAACACAAATCACTGCCAGCTGGGAGGCGATTCTGAAGAAATAGCCCCATGTGCTTATCCTGCTCTTAGGCTGTTCTCCAAAAACCCACTTTTGGCTGGGGTCAGACACTGGGCTAAAGAGACCTTCGGTATGACTTACTATGGATGTTCTTAGATTCATTACCAATGTAGGTATTTTGAACAATATACTCCCATGGCTAGCACACTCAGTAGGAGATTAATTTTTTGGAAAGTAATACAAGTCCTGTCTGAAAATGTCACACTCAAGCCAAAACCTCAGTGATATCATGATATACCTTTATGTAATTGCAGTTATAGTGGTTCCAAGCAGAATAGTTGGAAAACCTTTACAAACACAGTAAAACAACGGACAATGATCTGAGTTTAAAAGAAAGTTGGTTCCAGATTCAGCAACACAGTGCTGTATCTGCTGAAGTGCTGCTCACGAAGAAAAGCAAAGAGAAGCTACTGCTGCTGCTGAGTCCTTGCTATAAGCTCAACACAGCTTGAAGGAACTGTATTTCTGATGTGACTGAAATGATGTGCTACTTAAATATCATGAATTCTTAAAATAATACTTCTTTTATACTTGAAAAGGTTTGTAGTCACAGCAGTAATGGGATAGCTATGCTGGCCAACCTTCCTACCACAAATGTGTTTATAGCACCAAAAAACTATTGAGTCTAATATCTACTTATTCAGTAAGTAATTAAAGCATCCATATCAGTAAAAGTACTTGCATGCCTCCATAACTGCACCTACAATAAGATTTTTCTCTAGGAATGACTATGGCCAAACAGCAAGCTAAAAGCTAGCACGGGAACCCATAGGTGGCAACTGCCTGTACTGCAAGATAATTCAATCTGCAGAAAGAGGAGGAAATGCATTCCTCAAAGTATATGTTATACCAGTGTAAAGATTCTGTCACTACTAAAACAAAGACAAGTCCTTCTATTAGAAACTACCTCTACTAGTAGAGCAAAGAGTGATAGACCTCATTCTTTGGCAGTAACGTCAACTAGTACGGTTTGGCTATCCCCACACTATCGACTGCCTTTAAGAGAGGGTGACCACATCCAGACCATATGTCTGTCGGGAATAGTTTCTGGCCTGTGCTAATTCCTATATTATGCCTGAGAGTCATCCGGGAAAATTCTGCTTCGTGTGGGTCAAAGGCACACCAGGGACAATACCAGCAGCTTCGCAGGGTGGGACATCCGTTTCCATCTCCCCCATTGCCCAAGTACCATTTACTGGTACAGAAATAATTTTCAAAGTTATTTTATTACCTAAACCCTTGCAAAAGCAGAAATGGCAACAAAAATTCCTACAATACTTTGTGGATTGTCCGGCATGCCTTTCTAACGAACAGAAACATGCTACTTGGCATTTATACCCTTTTTATTCTCAAGCCCTTAAGATTAGTGCTGGCAAGGGGAAAGTTATATTAGGAGAGCCTGCAGTTCCATCAAAACAATGCTGCTGCAATTATTTAGATACAGGCAACAAAATATTTCAACGCTCTGCTAAACATATGGCAGCAACATATTTCTCATAACTTAAAAGAAAAATAGGGAAACCTCTCAGAATAAGACACTGAAACCCCAGTTCCTTCATGTTTCATGGTCAGGGTCATGTTGTTTGATGCCAACTGTGTGGAAAATGTTTAAAAGGAGGTTTATTCTTGAGACCCCTTACTGATAAAAGAATAATGACATCTTTAACCTTTAATTCCTTTGCCGACTTCAAACAAATTTCACACCATTTCTAAAGCTGGTGGCAAAACAACCCAAAACCCCACCTGTTAAAGCCTTCTGCAACGAAAGGAGGCAGATCAGGTTGTGCTCCATGTGTGAGTGAGTGGAAGGTGAGCACCAGACACAGCGAATGAAAACCAACCTTTCGAGGATCGGAAGTGCTTGCTGGGTGCCGTGAAGCCTCTCGTCCCGTGCACGTTCACAGCTGCCACGCGGAACTGGTACCACCTGCTCGCTCGGATGTCCGGCAGCCGAACCCGCTCATCCGTAGTCTGGTGGGGAAAATGTCACAGTTACGCTTATCGTTCTGATGTAGCCAGTTGTGCTACCATCTCCCGTGCAACACCAGTTAGTCAGACTGAAGGGTAGGGGACACTCTTCTTTATTACGCACCAGTGTCAGCAGGCTGTGTGCGACCACCTCACCTGCCTCTGAGCATCAGTCTGCACTGCAAAGCATTTACAGATGGGAACAAAATCATATAACCACCCAATTTTACAGCGCATTGCAGGTCTCTTCTGGAAAAAAAGTAACCTTTAGAAAACTGGTGAAGTGTTAAATTCACAAAATTATTTTTCCAGTTATCACAACCTTCACCAGTGTACAGGGCCTAGCCGTTCAGGTATTGATGTTTCAGGGAACTCACTGCCCCAGGTCACAGGTCTCATTTCTCCAATTGTCAATGCTCAGAGAATTAGGGGTGCAGAATGGTTTCATGAAATCCAGTGCTGTGAGAAGCTGCCTTTTCTGGTTCATAGGAAACGGGAAACCCTCAGGTAATGAATGTAAGCCTTCTTCAGATCTTTGGCACTTATGTCAAAAAGACACTCACAGCCTTAACTCTTCCCTGCAGACCTTTCTCAGGTCATAGGAGATGACCTTTTTCTCCAACAACACCCACTGAGACTGCTAGTGTCATGAGTTCAATTTCCACTTTCTGTGGGGAGTGCCTCAACCGCTGAAATATGGAATAAGCACAGATGCACTCTGAACCCTTTCAGTAGGAGGTGCTTTACGTGCTCTTATTCTCAGCCCTGCTTTCCTCTACCTTTTTGTTTTCCCTTTAAACTTTTAAAGAGCTATGTTCTGCACTGTTTCTTATTTTTCCTAAGGTACAAATATCAGACCTGAACACAGCCTCCTGGTAACCCCTGAATCACTGACAAGTACAGAAGATTTTTGTAGAACTCATCAGAAATTCATCCACTTGTTGAGGATTTTACTTTTGCAATTACCTCTCAATTATCCGGTTTCTAATTTATTTTAGGATGTCATGTTTATTGCATTTTAATTTAATTCTTTAATCAAAGTAACGCATGAACCTGAACCAAATGTCCTGTATATGTCTAAATATACGATACAATCATTACTGATTAACATTACTGACCAAACACACAAGATCATTAAAAATGTAGTGACATCAAATTATTTTCACATGCTCTGTTTTCTATAACTTCAAAAATTGTCCTTCCTTGTATAGGATTCGATGTTACTTGCAGTGATGCCAAGAACTTCCCCCAGAAGGCACAGCATCATTTCTGCGTTTTGCTTTTTCCGATCTGTGTAAAAAAGTAGCAACTGCTGACCTAACTCAGATAGCCAGAATTTGCTTCAGCTCTCCAGAAATGGTATTTTTTCAGCCCTGACCAATAAAATTTGTAGGTGTTATCCTACACTTAATCTCTTCATTTGGTGACAAGCAAAATTTAGGGAAGTGGATATCTGGTTTGCGTGTGCATGTAAAGGAAAGAGAGCCTTTCTAAATTGCACTGTAGACTGCGCTCAGACAAGTAAGTGTTGCAGTGTATTGGGTCGGGCTGAGATGGAGTTAATGTTCCTCATAGCAGCCCTCATAGTGCTGTGCTTTCTATTGGTATGTAGAAAGGTGTTGATAACACACTCGTGTTTTGGCTACTGCTGAGCAGTGCTTGCACAGCACCACGCCGGTGTCTCCAACATTCCCCCCCACCACCACCAGTGGGCTGGGAGGGGGCAAGATCTTGGGAGGGGATGTAGCCAAGACACCTGACCCAAACTGACCAAAGGGATATTCCATACCATATGATGTCAGCTCAGATGTAAAAACTAAGGGAAAGGAGGAGGACCAGGGGGCATTTGTTTTTTACAATGATTTGTCTTCCAGAGCAACAGCTATGCATACTGAAGCCCTGCTTCCCAGGAATTGGCTGGGAGAACAAAATCTTGTTTTCCTTTTGCTACCATGCACAGCTTTTGATTTAGCTTTTTATTAAACTGCCGTTATCTTGACCCATGAGTTGTTTTTTGTTTTTTTTTTTCTTTTCCATCTCATTTCCTCCCCACCTGTACTGCTGAAGAGGGGAGCGATAGAGCGGCTTCTTGGCACCCAGCATCCAGCCAAGGTCAAACCATCATACGCAGACTTTGAGCCCTTCACATATTGCTGCTACTCAGAGTCTTTCTCCATTCAGACTCCTGCATTTGTCTTTTTAGCTTAAGCAGGGTTGATAGTTCCAATGCTTTCATTGTCTGCCACATCTTCTTTCCTTTTTTTAGCTTTTACTTTATCTGTAGAGTGAATTGTCTCGCCCAATGAAGGGGCTTCCCTAAGGAAAAAAGAGCCTACCCAAACCCACTTTTACTATAATTTTCATTTTATGGAGCACTCAAATGCACTAGTTTTTTCCAGCATGCAGGCCCACATACTAAAGAACTTACAGGTAAGACACAACAGTGAACTAGAGTAAAATAAACTGTCACTATATTAACAGAAAAAAAAACCCAAGGAGGTATTCAGGTGACTCCTGCAACTGAGATCAGGATCAGGATTAATATCTAATCGTAATTAACTAGTTACATATAACACTGTGGGTTTTTAAAAGCAGATTTGCTGAATTTAGTTACAAGGCAAGCATAATCTGAATAGACTTGACCCCAAATTCCTCAGCTAAGGAATCTTGTTTGTCACTTGCATCAGCTCAGTTATTCTGCTAGGACTGATTAGAAGAAAGGATTTCAGTTGTGTCAGTCTTCCGTAGCAACCGTAAAATACTGTAAGATCAAATAATCTGTCAATCCATAACACCAAAATTATTTTAATATATGAACATGCCTTGGGCCTATTACTTTCATTTTGCTGACAAAGCTCCTGTTAAACTCAGTGGCATGCAATAGGTGTAACTCCTGCATTACAGGTATAAACTACTTTGGAACCTCTAATTAACCTTTACATAGATTTAACAAATTTCAAGAAAGACCTAAATACTGCTGAGATATCTTATACCACCTTACTGGTAATTGATTTTTTTTGTTTAATTGCTTCAGTTAGTTCTCACTACTTAAATAAGTTTGGAACTGAGATCGTAATATTCAGAGTCCTTTCAATATCTATCTTTTATTAATGTAAGCCCACTGAATGGTATACGGAGTGGAATGTTTCACTGTGTTCACTTCTTTTCTTTCACACTGCCAAACCTGGATTCCTTTCTGTAGTGCAAAGGTTTAATGGAAATAGGAGAGGACAGCCCTACCCTGCTGAGTTCATAGCTCTAAACCTTCTTTTGAAACAACACATGGTGATAAAAGAATTTGAGGTTCAGAGAGTGAAGGGATGCCATCTAGGGTATCAGAAGAGCTGAGTTTATGTTTCCTCTGATACAGAAGAAACCTTACAGTGCTGCATCCAGTACTCTATCAAAGGACAGAAGACCTCTCTTATTTCGAGTGATTGCATGAGGCGGGCACTCTCTAAGAATGCTTACCAAAGCAAGCCCTCTCCTGAGAGATGGAGAAATAAACCTTTACTGTACAGGACTGGTGGTTAGCTTCAGTGGGGATTTCTCACTGGCAAGAGCTGAGAAACTTTTTGTGACCCTCAGAGTCAGAACTTCAGGTGTTCCAGAAACTATATATTTTTAAAAAGATCGGTCGTCCACAGAGTTTAGACAACTCCAAGGTGAAGCACTAAGGTTTGTCACAGTCAAGCTAGCAGTAAATACAGCTCCTTATTTGTTTTAAAAAAGGAATAAATTAATAAGTAAACTTCATTATTGTCTGCCCATATGTACACATATATAGATGTGTGTGTGTATATATGTATATATACACACACACACACTTGACATCCATTCACATAACAAAGATATGTGTTCTGTCTGAAAGTAACTGACCTGGCATACTTGAATTAACTTCATTAATTAATTTAATATGATTAACTACCTAAGTTTCCAATGTAAACAGTAATACTATTACTTTTAGAAATTATTAGCACCAAATAGAATTGTAAGTTTGTTCACAAGATACACAGTATTCTCGTGGGATAGCGCAGCAGGTCCTGCTCAGCTGGTTAAACCTTAAAAAACAGTAATGTAAGAAACTTGGCATAACCACTTAGGACATCACAGCTAACTGGGCTAACTAGTATCTTAGTTCCCCATGTTTTTATATTAACCAATGGAAATTAGTCAAATGGTTAGTTACATCAAGTTTTCCCAAAAAACTAAAGTTAACAAGATCCCTTCTTCCTGAAGTGAGAAATAAGATTTTTTTCAATCTCTTTGCTTTCTTTAACTTTGGAGAGTTAAATAAATAATGTATTAATAGATTGAGCCTTCCTCCTTAAAAAGAATATATCAAAACGGACCTGATGACACAATACAATACAAAGGAAACAAAATTTTTCAAAATTATTTTTTCAATACCAAGTAAAAATTTATGAGGCATGAGAAATTACTTGCAAATTAGCTCATATAAAGGCAATAGAAAACAGCAAGGTTTTTTAAAAAGTAAACAACTTAAAGTAATTGAAAATTATAATCCCATTTCTTCTTGGACAGATAATAAAAATAGAATATTGGATGAGGAACTCTGATAAAATATTGTGAAATTTCTTATAAGATACAAACAATAACTTTGCATAATTACACTACACATGGGCATAGGCATAGAGAAATTCAGATCCTCATCCACAGCCTTTTGATCTTTGACTGCTTTTTACATGCTCTCTAGCTTAAGTCACAGAGTAATGAAAGAGCCAGTATCATCTCCCCTGGACTGAGAGGCCCCAGGAGTTCTCAGCCAAATGGCTGAGCTCTTCGTAGCCTTTGCCTATAATGAAGATCTCATAGCCCAATGTTCTGGAATCATACAAGAAAAAATCTCAGTTATACAGACAGGAAAAGCCCAGAGGCTGTGCGCACAGTCACTTTAGTCAAACTGGATATCCATCTTGCTGATATTGCAAAACAAATTCTATTGCATGCAGCCACACTTAGCAAATTTGACTGCCTGGTGGGATGTCTGAAACTACAAAACCACGGAGGTACATTACTCTATAAAGACAGAAATTCTGATTACTAGCACCCCTCAAGGGTCCCCAGCCTGTATGTCCCATAAGGTATACACAGTTCACAAAGCCAGTCAGGCATCCTGATGCTTGTTCTGAACTGACATCCCCAGTGGGGTCCGACACAATCAAACACGCGTCTCTTGTGGATGCAGAAGGGACAGCGAAGTTCTCAGGAAGATGTCAGTTGGAGGAGGCTTCCCCTGCCACAGAGATTAACTCAGCCCCTTCTGCCCGCGTGTAACAGACCCCCAGGAAAGGCAGCTGTCAGGATTCTTATCACTCTTGCACAGGAACCCATTTCTGAAACACTGCTGTACATCTACTGCAAGAAGGCAGATGTTCGTGCATATATAGTGCATGCCTCCAGAAACGTGCATGAGGTCTCTTTCTGGGATGAGAAAAAGCACAGCAGTGTGCTACCTTTGCAGAAGAGTTGGGCTTTCACAGTCTAGCGCATATACATGGCACAATAACAGTGAGGAGTAATTCAGAGCTGGCTCATTTTTGCTACATGGTATTTTCCTAGTAGCAGGAGGTTCTTCCCTGAGTATGGAGAACACAGACTGAAGACCTGCACCTCAGCTGAGAGATAATAAATAAGTCACTGCAACTTTATCAGGTTTGGAGGTGTGCACATTGCCTTGGGCTTGCACAAGCAGGGTTTCATGCCAGGCTCTGCTGCAGGTGACTTTTTCTGAGCAAGACTCTAACGTAGTGACAGGCCCCCTGTAGTACCACCTTGAAGCTAAGAACTTCACTTCTGAGTGTTCAGTTTCACGAGCTTGTCATTATTTTAAGATAGCTTTTTCCTACACAATCTGAAGTGAGAATGAACGCAGATTGCCACAGAATTTAAACTCCTTATTGTGTGAATGGTTCTATTTATTCTTTCCTTCCTTTTTTTCCCATCTATAATGACATTTTGCAGGTCTTTTCAAAATCAACATTTTACTTTTCTTGTCAGCAGGGATGAGGGTGAAGAGTTAGGATAAACGATTGGAACTCTGCCATCCAGGTGGACTGTCAGCATGTTAAAAAACATATTGAAACTGGGAAGGAACCAAGTGAAAATTTATGCTCTGTTGGCTGCTTCTCATTAAGAAACATTTGCTTATGAATCTTATATTTTCAGTCTGGATTGCACTGAGTGATAAGAGCATGACATCATCGTCATCTCTGAATTGGGAGGATAACACCTGAAAAGAACAACTTGACAAAGAATAAGGGTTTTAGTCTTTTTTTTACTCTTTGTTTTATTTAAAAAAAAATAGCCTTTTCACCAGTTTTATTTCTTTTTTATAAGACCCAAGCCATGCCATGGAGACTGCACTGAGTACCACTGACCTCAAAAGGATTATGTCTCTTATGTGCTTTCTTCAACGGATTCAGTATCTAATTCTACCTTTTTCAAGAGATTTGTGGCTTTTACTTTGGAATTCCCATCTCAATAGATCATAAGTATGTGCTTACAAGAAAGTGCCACTCACTGGCTTCACGAAAATCAAGCCTCTAGCTAATTCTATGGATTTTTATCTTTAGAAAGCAAACCCAAAAATAAACTCATTTTGAAAACATAAACCTCTGAGTATTTTTTCTTTTGGGGACAACAAAACCACTATTTACTTCTTTACTGATATACTTACACATTTTTAATGAAGTAATTTTCAATACTTACCAAAAGCATCTGATGCTTCTATAACTGAGAAACTGGAAGTGAAAACACTGAAGTTAATTTCTCCTGAGTAAATCTAGAAAACAGGTCACTGAGCAGTGAGGTAATGCCTTGGAGATCGGGATTCTGTTTGCAGCTCTGTCATGACCTAGAGAGAGACCCTCTAAAGGGATCCCTCTGCATGAGCCTCCCCACCTGTAAGTGATCTAACTCTTCTCCGATCTGACAAGGACCTTTAGATCATGGTCTGGAAGCTAGGGATCCATATCGCTTGACAAAGAACTGACCTGTGCCACAGTTTGCCAGTTAGTAGCATCATCCTCGCTTGGATGGATTCCTTGATTCCACCTCCTCTGAACAACATATATCACAGGCTCAATGGAAATATTGAATTTTGAAGACCACTTCACCTCCAGGTCTCCAGACTGAAGTTCTATGAATTTTAATTCTTTCCGGGGCTTCAGTGGAACACCTGTAATAGGAACACGCACACAAAAATATGTGAGTAATTTACAAGATGCAATTGAACCATATGTAGATGAAGCTGTATAAAAAAATAAAAAAAAAAGGAGAGCATTGATCAGGAAAAAAGGGGGGAACATGGGATGATGAGCATGGGAGTTTCAGAAGTGCTCACAACTGGCCTCTCTCTGCTAACAGTAAAACTTGTTTTTAAAAAATCTTCAAAATTATTTATTTCATTTAAAAACTAAGGATCTGTAAGAAAAAATGATCTCATAGAAAACACTTTCCAAAGATGCTTTGATAACCTGGAGAAAGATCCCTTTGATCCCAAGCAGAATCAGCTGTACCTGTTGTTCAGCTTTTCACCTAAATTCTCCTTAAACACATCTGATGACAATTTCCACAGCACTACATAGTAATCATTCCACTACTTCTCTATCCTTAACCATTAGAAAGCTTTCTTACTACCTTGCTTAGTCTCCTCCACTGCATCTTAAACTTGATACATGTCCATGATGTTCATGGATCATGGAGAACAGATTCTTTCTTTCATCCATGGAGCAGCCTTTTATGTACTGCCAGACTGTTATCATGCCTCTGAATGTTTTCTTCTTCAGTCTAATAACCACAATGCACTCAATTTTCCTTTTAAATCAGTGTTTCTAGACCTCTGATCATACTTGCAGTTCTCTCTGGAAACTCTCCCATTGGCCCAAAGCTCTTCCCCAGGGTCAAACCTAAAACTGGACATAGACTGCGCCTAAGCACTTACCAGTGTCAACTCAAGAAGCAGGATTATTTCACACATCTTACACTGGTCTGATATACTTAAGAAAGCTGTTTGCCTTCTCCATGGCAGCCTGATCTTACCAACTCACATGCAGCTGTATTGTCTGATGTGTCACTCCCCCCTCTTCCCTAAAGATCTAGGAAAGGTAATTCCAAGGCATCTTGCAATAGATATGTTATATCTAATGTATATTGTTCAATTGTTACGTTCCAGAGACAAAGATGTCTTTCTAAGATTTTACAGTAATTTCTCATTACATAGTGACACTGGAAGACAGTTATTTCTGTTGTTTCTACTGCTGGAAATATCACCCTTTTGAAAACATCTGCAGTAGCTTGAAGGAAAAAACAACTCTTCAAATTTGGCATCTTCTGATTAAATCAACAAATCAAATGTTAGATATATGTCTCTAGACAGATGAGAACTCATATATTTGAGTGTGCAGCATCTTTTCCCTTCAGAATATGTCACAAAAAAGATATGTAAGCTGACATATAAACCTTCTTCGCAAGTTATCCTGTGCACTTTAGTTATTTTGTCATTTCAGTGGGTGTCCCCATAAGTCCAGCTCTACGTGTTGGTTCGATAAATTATTTCCTACTCAGACTGCCACAGATGACTGAGTACCAAAATTTCCTTAGGTGAACAAATTGCTTTTATATTTTAAGAGTTCTTCTCCTAAATCTGATTATACAATTAGCTATAAGTAAATAAAAATTGATACTGTAGCCCTTGAAGAAGCCTAAAATCAACCTGAGGAAAATCCAATACTTAAATCTGGTTATCACAGCAGTTTAAACCCTCAATATCCTTCAACAGCCAGCAGCCTTAGCCTAATATAACGAACATCACAGAACATGTCAGTTCAGATTTCCACATTTGAAAAGCCTTCTTTAATTATGATGTACAATAATCCTACAATTTGCATGTTAAGAAAACTTCCATCTGCTTTGCATTAGGGGCAGTTGGATTCACTTGATTGCAAGTATCTCAGCCTCTCTGCTGTTACGTAATTGCGTGCAGATGGAGCGCAGCAGCACAAACAAGAAGAGCACAGCACAAGTGCATTTTGAAATACTTCTGCACCATCAATTTCATATCCAGATGTGTAGATCCAATCACTCTTCAATGTGCTTTTTATTATGTAAATGGTCAGCCCTTTCATCGTGCTGGAACAAATTAGTCCTCTGAAGTCTGCAGTGCTTAACTGCAGAATTCAAATCACTGATTGCTATATGTGTGCAATACCAGAGCCCAGGAAAAATGTTTCTTTAGGTGCCTTTCAGATGGCATATGCATCGCCATGCCATGAAAAATAAATGCACACTGGTCCATCATTAGAATCTGTATCTTAAATGTGGGTTCCCCAGGAATTCAAAAAGTTTCCATGGAAGGGTTTTGGACAGTAAAGGGTACACTCATGGTGTCAGTACAATTGTTAGCACAGTTGTTCAAAGACTCAGAGATGCGCACCTTTAAAACTGGAGGACAGGGGGGCAATTCGAGACAGCCAGCGTGTATTCACCACGGTCAAGTCCTACCTGACCAACCTAGTGGCCTTCTATGAAGGAGTGACTGTATCAGTGGATCTCTGTGTCATCTATCTGTACTTCTGTAAGGCCTGAGACATGGTCCCCCACAACATCCTTCTCTCTAGACTGGAGAAATATGGATTGATTTGATGGGTGCACTGTTCGGTGGATGATTAATTGGTTGGATGGTCGAATCCAGAGGATAGTGTTCAACAGCTCAATGTCCAGATGGAGATCAGTGACGAGTGGTGTCCCTCAGAGGTCTATACTGGGACCAGTGCTGTTAAGTATCTTCATCAATGGCATAAGCAGTGGGATGCTCACCCTCAGCACCCTCAGCAAGTTTGCAGATGACACCAAGCTGAATGGTGCAGTTGAAACACCTGAGGGATGGGATGCCATCCAGAGGGACTGAGACATGCTTGAGAAGTGGGCCCATGTGAACCTCATGTGGTTCAACAAGGCCAAGTGCAAGGTCCTGCACCTAGGTCAGGGCAACCCCCAGTATCAATACATGCTGGAGGATGAAGAGATTGAGAGCAGCCCTGCCGAGAAGGACTTGGGGATCCTGGTGGATGAAAAGCTGGACATGAGCCACCAACGTGCGCTCACAGTCCAGAAGGCCAACCCTATCCTAGGCTGCATAAAAAAAAGATGGCCAGTAGGTCAAGGGAGGTGATTCTGTCTCTCTGTTCCACTCTGGTGAGACCCCATCTCCAGCTCTGGAGTCCTCAGCACAGGAAAGACATGGACCTGTTGGAGTGGGTCCAGAGGAGGACCATGAAAATGACCAGAGGGATGGAACAACTCTCCTATGAAGGAAGTCTGAGAAAGTTGGGGTATTCAGCCTGGAGAAGAGAAGGCTGAGGGGGGGGGCTTATTGTGGCTTTTTAGTACTTAAAGGGGGCTTATAAGAAAGATGGGGACAAACTTTTTAGCAGGGCCTGTTGCAATAGGACAAGGGGTATTGGTTTTAAAGTAGAAGAGGGTAGATTTAGACTAGGTAGAAGGAAGTAAGTTTTTACAATGAGGGTGGTGAAACACTGGAATGGGTTTGCCCAGAGAAGTGGTAGATGCCCCATCCCTGGAAACATTCAAGGCCAGGTTGGACGGTTCTCTGAGCAAACTGATCCAGTTGAAGATATCCCTGCTCACTGCAGGGAGGCTGGACTAGATGGCCTCTAAAGGTCCCTCACAATCCAAACTATTTTATGATTCTATGATTCTAACTTCTGTAGACTTTTAGATTCAAACTGAGTTCATTTTCTAGCTGTGAGTGCTGTCAAAATGATGAGTTAAGTACTAAACTTATTCACTAGATCTTAGTTATGCTTGCAGAGTTTGCTCTTTCTTAGTGACACGGAGGTCATTTACCCCTGGAGGAAATGAATAGCAAGCCTGTTCCGCTTCTGTTTGTCCTTTGTTGCAGAAAGACAGGTTGAAGAGGCTAATTAGCTGGATTCATCAGCTGGGAAGGCAGTACAGTATTGGGCTTGCCCTTCCTCTGTAAGACATATGTGGTCTTACAAGCAAGCACCTCCTGCAGATAGGTGATAAGATGTTAGAGGTTAGTTCTGTTCATATATAATTAGGCCGAACAGCATTAGACTTTCCAGTGTGCAGTTACACAATGTATCATATCCTGTCATATCCTGTGTCCTCCCCAAAAGCATGTGGTATTATTTCATTTGTTTGTTTGCTTGTCTGTTTTGTTTTTACGTTTTCCAGCTGTTACATTTACTGGAACGCTTTGTAGTTGTGGTATGGAGTCTGATCATGTAAATCATTACATATACAATACGAATGCCAGTTTATCACTCTGGTCATTTGTCTCAAGAAGAAGAAAGAAATAACTAAGTGATCCATTTTAATAATCTTAACTTTTGAAAGATGCTGTGCATTCATTAAAGAGTGTATTAATTGCTTATGGTTTTAAAGGGGCTGCTCTGAAGTGTCTCGGGAGCAAGAGAGTTTCCCTCCTGCACTGGAAATCTGGATCACAGCATTGCTTGCTGTTCAAAATAGTTTTGAGTACTATCTTCATCAGTTTTATGCTTACTCAACCTCTATGACTTCTAGATCAAATTTGCTCCATTTATGTAAGTAAATAAGACAGTGCTTCCTGATGGCCCATCCTGTACAGTCAAAGACAGGATTCAAAAGTCAAACCACATTATTTCTGACATACATCCTCATCAGTAGGGACATTCAAAAAGATGCATCAACATTTCAGTTAAGGCAATGAACTTAAAAATAAAATCACCATCTCCTTCACATATTTTACCATTTTTCCATCTACAGATGGAAATAAGTCTGGATTCAGACCTTAGCCTGGTGCTTAGGTCATAGTTCTGCTGATTAGGCTCATGCTATCAGAAGAATTACTGATTACTATTTATTTTTTATCAGTGAAATAAAGAGAATGGATTTCTAACGAAACATTCCGACTCTGGAAGATGAAAATGCCTTTCATAAATGCTCAATGTTCTGCATTAGGAGCACATTTTCAGAATATTTCCATGTATAAAGCTTTTTCTAAATCCCACAAATTAAAATCTGGAGTTTGTCTAAGCAAATAATTTCTTAGTCTATGTGTTCTTGCTGACGCATGTCAAGGAAAACCTTTTTTCACAGACTCTCAGGACTCAAATCAATTAAAAAAAATTTGAATAAGATTGCCTTAGTTTAAATAACGAATTAATATATATGTCGATATTATATTCTTTCACTTTTTTGTTCTTAGGTCATTTAAAACACCAGTGCCAAATATACTGCACTGATTTGTTCTTTTCCCAGATTACCTCACACTTCCTATTTGGTAGGCCTACCTGCTTGCCTTATAAACATAAATGTTATTAGTGATTAATAGGACTTGATCATTAAATATTTTCCTGCTGCATTCCCTCTCACCTGCATCAAATTAAGTGAGATTTCACCTAAACTGGCAAGTTTGTTCTGCTTAAGATGATTCATAATAGCCACATGTTTACATTCCACAGATTTCTAGACGTGGGCTTCCCAAGGGGAAAAAAATTCAGAGACTTGAGCAACATTTTTCTCTGGCTTTCCACACTTTCAGTGTCCAGCCAGATCTCTACAGGCACCTCTCCTTCTTCTTCCCACCCATACAAACTCCTATGAAATGTAAGTCGCGGTTTTCTAGGAGCCTTTGTTGTGGCCTGAAGTTATTAGCCCAGTATGAGTACATATTAATAATCTCTACCTTTGTACAGATTTTTTGGCACTTGGCACGTATGACCGCATCCATTGGAACAGCATTTCTTCACTCCGGAACATTCACTATCAGCTTCACAGCTTTCAACACAGGCAGCTGCAAAACCACTGGCCTTCTCAGGTGCTGGGCAGTCCCCTTGCTTCACAGACAGGATGTACTTAAGGAATTCACAGCTAGTTAGGCATTCATAATTCTTCTTGGGGAAAAGAGGCTAAAGGGAAAACAAAAGAATTGCATAAAGTTTTCAACAGGAACAAAAAAAAATAAAGAAAAAATGTTGTACATTTTCCAAGACCTCCTAAAGGAAAGATCAGATTTTCAGCCTTTGCAAGACTATCTCTGAAGATTTATATATTCAAGCCACTTCTAAACAAGCATTCCAAGTACAGAATGATGAATTCCCTCAAGTAAGACCACCATCTTTAATGGAATAAAGTTGTTTATATCTGCCAGCTTTCCCTTGTTTTCCTCACATTGGCTGGCTACAAAGTTGCTCAATGACAGATTAAAAACATTCCCAAAACAAAGGGGAAGCAATGGTCAGACAGTCTTTTTTTTGGACTACCCCACATTCCTCCCTTTGTACTTCATAACACTTTAGCCACAATATCTGATGTAATGCCACTCTAGATAAATAAGTGAAAACTTGTTTCATTATACTGATTGAACTGAGTCAGCTAAGAGAAGATTTTGCAGCATCTTTATGTTCTTCCCAGCATATTGTATAACTCTTCATGGAACTGGAACTAAACTACTGATAAAATGATCAGCAGAAAATACAGACTAAAATAAGCCTTCAACATCTTGATTAAAGATCAAAGTAAATGCTGCTGCTTTGGCAAATCAAGTCCTAGATATATGAGAGGTTGCTTCAATGCATAGACATTTTATAGCATGGGGATTGCATCTGCGCTTTTATCTGGTGGTTTATTTGGTTTGGTGCAAAAACAGCTGAAATGATTCCCTCCGAGTGATTGGTGGAATTCTAGATGGGCAACCCCTGTAAATGGGGTTATCTATCTCAGAGCAACCAAAACCTCCACTCTGACAGATCTGACTTACAGATTCCTAAACATGCACGGGAATTATAACCCACTCTCCATCCATCTATTCATGTAACTTTTGCAACTTCCTTCCATCTTCAAATGTTTTACTTTCTTATTTCTACTAGCTCTACATTTCTGGCAAAATGAGAAAGAGTTCAGTATTATGGAGGCCCAGGTGTTTCACAGACTATGTGTCAGTTTATTCTCTAAAGTCACTGTGGTCCAAGAATGTGTCACTACTTTACCTCTCCCATCTTGTCCTACAGAACAGTTCAGAATTTTCAAATCACGCTTTTAAGGATGCATTTGGGTGTTACTGCTTAACCAGCCTAAGGCTGCCAAAATGAGCAGTCCTTGTATCTCTTACTGACCCCAGAGATCCCTGGATACACGTGCCTGCTGTTCCCCCCAGTGGAATGCACCTGATCCCATGGTTAGCCAGTTAAGAAGCTAAACCAGCAGGAAACTAATTTTATGGGGGGGAAAAGAAAAGGAGTCAGGTAAACTGTCTCCTTTTCTCCTTCACACAAAAGGTTCCTTTAACATTAGTGCACTCAGTTGGTAGGTAAGAAGTAACAAACCAAGCAGGGACCTTGAGAAACACAAAGCTAAATTGTTGCTTTCAGATTTTTTACAAAATACAAAAAGATTGAAAACATTCTCAAAGGAAAACAGCCTCATTTGATTCAATCAAACAATGTTGATGGAGCATACTTGAGTCTGAGAGAAAGGAAAGTGGTCCTGTGCTTTTGTGTGTGTGTGAAGCTAATTTCAAATCCTAAAACATCACAAATTTGCAGCTACTTAATTAAAAACTTTATAGCTCCCTGAGGCATAATACGTCCTCAAGGCTTCTCCTCCTCACCCTATTTCACAGCTCATTTTTCAGTTAGCTGCTAAATGCGCTGCTCTTCATTACAGGCCTTTGAAGTTCTAAATTTAGCTTCAACCACAAAGCACTAATCAAAGAGGGATGCTCACTGTTTTTAACTACAATAGAACAGTGTTCTACAAATGTTTTCCTTTTAAACCAATTTTATACGTATTTTCACCCATATCTGGAAACATACAGCCTGAGTGAGAAGTGATATACGAGAATGACATAAATTAGATCCACTAAAACTGCTTTATTTCACTACCATAGAGTTTTGTATATGAGGAAGCAGCAAGTAAGCCGGGTTAAACTCTTATAAGGATTGGTTTTAATGAGAAATTTTTACTTTGTCTTCTAATGTAACTACATAGATCAGTAATCCAATAATCCTTATTTACACATAGCTGGACCTAATTTTTTTTTAGTTGAAATTACAGATTTTCCAAATCATCTTCATGATGCTTAAAATAATTTAAACATAACACATGCTCTTGAACCATAAAAAGAGTGGCCTGTGATGAGGGAGGAGTCAAATCAGTATATCAGTGAGATCAACATAGCAGTTAAGGTCACTTCTATTTTTTTATAAGAAAATCTGAAAATCTTCATAAACATGCACTTTCACAGGCTTGAATAAAGTTATATCTTTAAATTGATTTAGTCATAATAAAGCAAGTTTCTATTGAGATATTTCCATTTTGTATTAAAAAAAACACTTAAGAACTGTAACAGCTGACTTCTACCAACTCAGCAGAGCCATGTTTTAAATCCAGTAAAACCTGGAGTCCTCAGCACAAGAAGGACATGGAACTGTTGGAGTGGGTCCATAGGAGGGCCACAAAAATGATTCAGGGGCTGAAGCACCTCTCCTGTGAAGGAAGTCTGAAAGAGTTGGGGTTGTTCAGCCTGGAGAAGAGAAGGCTCTGAGGAGACCTTGTTGCAGCCTTTCAGTACTTAAAGGGGGCCTATAGGAAAGACGGGGACAACCTTTTTAGCAAGGCCTGCTGTGACAGAACAAGGGGTAATGGTTCTAAACTAAAACAGGGTAGATTTAGACTGGATATAAGGAAGCAATTTTTTACAATGAGGGGGGTGAAACACTGGAAGGGGTTGCCCAGGGAGGTGGTGGAGGCCCCATCCTTGGAAACATTCAAGGTCAGGTTGGGTGGAACTCCGAGCAACCCGATCCAGTTAAAGATGTCCCTGCTCACTGCAGGAAGGTTGGGCTAGATGGCCTTTAAAGGTCCCTTCCAACCCAAAGCATTCTATGATTCTGTGATTCTGTGATTCTATGATTTGTACTAGTTTAACTGATCTAGGTTTGCTTATTTACAAGGTTATCCTGAAACATGATTCATTAGTTTACCAAAGACTTGTTCCTGAATACTTATGTGTTTTGATAGTAGTCTTCTGAATTGGGAGTCCACAATCCAGTTACTCCTGGAGAGGTATTCTTTTAGAAATCAGAGTGACTTTCACATACAGGAGGCCCATCTTTTCTAGCTACCCTGGACAAGGATTTTCACATAAAGACATTTTATCTTTTAAACAAAGATACTCTTCCTTACACATAGCCAGAAACGATAGAAGGGCATGTGGTAGAAATAGCATCTTACAGGAGGGATTTAACAGCACCATCTGAGAGGACCTATGTAAGAGTGGCTAGATCACGTCTTAAAACTTCAAGTTGAGATAAATCATTTGGTTAGAAAAAAAATAAAATTTTTTAAACTCAAACTTATCCCTAAATTGTTACATGTATCCATTCAAATGAAGGTGAGTGCTGTAAAAATCCCATGTTTGTTAGCGGTCTCCCTGAAACTAATAATTTAAATGAAAGAGACAGCTAGAACAAAGTGAGAAAGAGTGCCCTTGGGCTGACATACCTCACAAAAGCTTTGGCAATGGTTTTTCTTCAGGTCCCAGGACTCTTTGCAGGGCTCCAGGCACTAGGAAGAATCAGGAGACAGAGAAGTGTCAGGAAGAGAAAGAAATAAAACAACCACAAATGACCCCATTTCTTCTCCAGTTGTTTGTTTGGCCCACAGGAAGTTAATAATAGGCTTTAAAAATCCACTTCTCCTGAGGATAAGATTGTGTCATTGAGTCATGGTGTCAGAGCAAGGTCATGCCAAGCCATGGTTAGATTACAAGAAATATTTTCAGTATTTCTTACTGTACAAGGCAATTGCCTCACTTGTTTACGTGCCATCCTATTTTCTGTCTTATTGTATCTAGGTCCTAATACCATTTAACACTGTGTCACTGGATCACAGAGACAATGTCAAAAGCACTACTCTAAACTATAGAAACTTAAATCTTCTTCTTGCTGACTAGCCTAAAGATCAGATGAGCACATTGCCTTCTGAAGCGAGAAATTATTTCATCAAGCTATGGAGTAAACTCAGCAGAGGCCTAACCACTGTTCCTGGATAAACAGACAATGTTCACTGGTCTGCTAGCAAAACCACTTTATTTCAAGTACCATATTATCATTGCTTCACCTTCAACCTCTACTGCAATGGTTATATAGAGAGTTGAGATTCAAACTCTGCAAACCAGTCAAGCTTCACAGCAGAGTATTAAGAAAAATCACACGACTAAGAGCATTTACTGCAGCTGAAACATAAATTGAGACTCACATCCAGAAACTTTTTCTCTTCCTTTGTTAGATCTCAGAAAATACTGGCATTGTTAGGAGTTAGTAACACCTAGTCCTTCTGGCAATAGTGGAAAGATACTTATTGAACCAAAAAGAAAGGCCTTTGATATGCAATTTAGTATTTATATAATGTTTTTCTCTTATACATAGTATTAGATTGGATCCATATACATTTATGCTATTCAAAACCAAGCATGAATACATATAGGCTGCATCTCAGCTGTCCACCTGTATCATCAATGTACTAAAAAAATTAGTATTTTAAAAGTTAAGCATTTTTCTTACTAGTAACAAAGCCTGAAAAATATAATAAAACTGTTAGTCACAGAGCTTACGTATTTCAGGAATGAAAAATAGCACCCAAACATTTTCTCTATATATAGTTTGGTATTTTAGACTCAATTTCTAGCTTGTCAGAATTCACAATGTGCTTAATTAGAAGGATACATGACTGAAGTCAGTAAGTTTAATTAATTCCAGAGTGTTGTTCCTCCTGTGGGATAGTTACCGCACATTTGAGCCCAATGCCACTGTCATGTCAATTTCAGAGCTCTCCTAAATGTCTGATGGATTTAGTCCCAGATTACAGAGGTATAAATGGTATAAAGACAAAATGGGCAACATCTGACCACACTGGGACTTTGTCAGTGATCCCCAATGCTGTCAGGATTTCCATATCCTTGCCTTCTCTGAATTCTCGCTTCAATGCTGCACAGCCTCACAGAGCGTATCTAAAGCAGCACATCCACAGTCTTGAGATGACAACTAGGACCAAGTTCATGCTGACTGGACCACCTTCCTTGCAGGCTCTGGAGCAAAACAATTGGGGCTCCTAGAAGGAAATACCAAGATGATGCTGTACGCTTTGGAGGGTTTGTTCAAGGCATTTCTACCAGGATGTCTTTACCTGCAATATATTGCAGTAGGCTCCAGCACTTGATGCCTTGATTTTGTATTAAAAAAAACACTTAAGAACTGTAACAGCTGACTTCTACCAACTCAGCAGAGCCATGTTTTAAATCCAGTAAAACCTGGAGTCCTCAGCACAAGAAGGACATGGAACTGTTGGAGTGGGTCCATAGGAGGGCCACAAAAATGATTCAGGGGCTGAAGCACCTCTCCTGTGAAGGAAGTCTGAAAGAGTTGGGGTTGTTCAGCCTGGAGAAGAGAAGGCTCTGAGGAGACCTTGTTGCAGCCTTTCAGTACTTAAAGGGGGCCTATAGGAAAGACGGGGACAACCTTTTTAGCAAGGCCTGCTGTGACAGAACAAGGGGTAATGGTTCTAAACTAAAACAGGGTAGATTTAGACTGGATATAAGGAGGCAATTTTTTACAATGAGGGTGGTGAAACACTGGAAGGGGTTGCCCAGGGAGGTGGTGGAGGCCCCATCCTTGGAAACATTCAAGGTCAGGTTGGGTGGGACTCCGAGCAACCTGATCCACTTAAAGATGTCCCTGCTCACTGCAGGAAGGTTGGGCTAGATGGCCTTTAAAGGTCCCTTCCAACCCAAAGCATTCTATGATTCTGTGATTCTGTGATTCTATGATTTGTACTAGTTTAACTGATCTAGGTTTGCTTATTTACAAGGTTATCCTGAAACATGATTCATTAGTTTACCAAAGACTTGTTCCTGAATACTTATGTGTTTTGATAGTAGTCTTCTGAATTGGGAGTCCACAATCCAGTTACTCCTGGAGAGGTATTCTTTTAGAAATCAGAGTGACTTTCACATACAGGAGGCCCATCTTTTCTAGCTACCCTGGACAAGGATTTTCACATAAAGACATTTTATCTTTTAAACAAAGATACTCTTCCTTACACATAGCCAGAAACGATAGAAGGGCATGTGGTAGAAATAGCATCTTACAGGAGGGATTTAACAGCACCATCTGAGAGGACCTATGTAAGAGTGGCTAGATCACGTCTTAAAACTTCAAGTTGAGATAAATCATTTGGTTAGAAAAAAAATAAAATTTTTTAAACTCAAACTTATCCCTAAATTGTTACATGTATCCATTCAAATGAAGGTGAGTGCTGTAAAAATCCCATGTTTGTTAGCGGTCTCCCTGAAACTAATAATTTAAATGAAAGAGACAGCTAGAACAAAGTGAGAAAGAGTGCCCTTGGGCTGACATACCTCACAAAAGCTTTGGCAATGGTTTTTCTTCAGGTCCCAGGACTCTTTGCAGGGCTCCAGGCACTAGGAAGAATCAGGAGACAGAGAAGTGTCAGGAAGAGAAAGAAATAAAACAACCACAAATGACCCCATTTCTTCTCCAGTTGTTTGTTTGGCCCACAGGAAGTTAATAATAGGCTTTAAAAATCCACTTCTCCTGAGGATAAGATTGTGTCATTGAGTCATGGTGTCAGAGCAAGGTCATGCCAAGCCATGGTTAGATTACAAGAAATATTTTCAGTATTTCTTACTGTACAAGGCAATTGCCTCACTTGTTTACGTGCCATCCTATTTTCTGTCTTATTGTATCTAGGTCCTAATACCATTTAACACTGTGTCACTGGATCACAGAGACAATGTCAAAAGCACTACTCTAAACTATAGAAACTTAAATCTTCTTCTTGCTGACTAGCCTAAAGATCAGATGAGCACATTGCCTTCTGAAGCGAGAAATTATTTCATCAAGCTATGGAGTAAACTCAGCAGAGGCCTAACCACTGTTCCTGGATAAACAGACAATGTTCACTGGTCTGCTAGCAAAACCACTTTATTTCAAGTACCATATTATCATTGCTTCACCTTCAACCTCTACTGCAATGGTTATATAGAGAGTTGAGATTCAAACTCTGCAAACCAGTCAAGCTTCACAGCAGAGTATTAAGAAAAATCACACGACTAAGAGCATTTACTGCAGCTGAAACATAAATTGAGACTCACATCCAGAAACTTTTTCTCTTCCTTTGTTAGATCTCAGAAAATACTGGCATTGTTAGGAGTTAGTAACACCTAGTCCTTCTGGCAATAGTGGAAAGATACTTATTGAACCAAAAAGAAAGGCCTTTGATATGCAATTTAGTATTTATATAATGTTTTTCTCTTATACATAGTATTAGATTGGATCCATATACATTTATGCTATTCAAAACCAAGCATGAATACATATAGGCTGCATCTCAGCTGTCCACCTGTATCATCAATGTACTAAAAAAAATAGTATTTTAAAAGTTAAGCATTTTTCTTACTAGTAACAAAGCCTGAAAAATATAATAAAACTGTTAGTCACAGAGCTTACGTATTTCAGGAATGAAAAATAGCACCCAAACATTTTCTCTATATATAGTTTGGTATTTTAGACTCAATTTCTAGCTTGTCAGAATTCACAATGTGCTTAATTAGAAGGATACATGACTGAAGTCAGTAAGTTTAATTAATTCCAGAGTGTTGTTCCTCCTGTGGGATAGTTACCGCACATTTGAGCCCAATGCCACTGTCATGTCAATTTCAGAGCTCTCCTAAATGTCTGATGGATTTAGTCCCAGATTACAGAGGTATAAATGGTATAAAGACAAAATGGGCAACATCTGACCACACTGGGACTTTGTCAGTGATCCCCAACGCTGTCAGGATTTCCATATCCTTGCCTTCTCTGAATTCTCGCTTCAATGCTGCACAGCCTCACAGAGCGTATCTAAAGCAGCACATCCACAGTCTTGAGATGACAACTAGGACCAAGTTCATGCTGACTGGACCACCTTCCTTGCAGGCTCTGGAGCAAAACAATTGGGGCTCCTAGAAGGAAATGATGATGCTGTACGCTTTGGAGGGTTTGTTCAAGGCATTTGTACCAGGATGTCCTTACCTGCAATATATTGCAGTAGGCTCCAGCACTTGATGCCTTGTCTGGCTGCTGCTCTGTCTTAAAAATCACTCAGGACAGCCCAGGCCACTTTCAGCTGAGCCCCAGCATCTCCTGCCATCAGGACAGGCAGAGACAATGGGCATCTCAACTCAGACACTTCAAAGGAAAGATGGGCAAAATGAACCAGGCTTGAGCAGTATCCTGCAATCTGACTGCCCTCAGAATACTCCAAGGAAAACAGACGATGTAGCAAGACATAAGGCCTCCATCATAAGCTTTACAGACTATGATTAGAGTACATGCTCTTACCTATACGTAAGCAAAAACATCTTCCTACCTCTGCTGTATGAGGAGTCCTCAGAGCTGTGGGCTTAGTCTCGCACCATGGACTGCTGCAGAAGCTGACTGCCCAACTTTAGTGGAGCTGTACCATTGTGTAGGTTGGAGAAAAACTGCTAGCAGACAGAAAGGTTGCCAGTAACTATGCACTGGAAGAGTTTGGGACTGTCCTTCTAAAAAGGTAGCTATTAAGGTTGCAATAACAAAGACAAGAAGACCTCACGAACATTGGGGTTTGTGCATTTATCCTCTTAGCTACTCTGTTGTGAGGTTCCCCTAAATTGGGAAGCTGAAAAAGCTGGAAGCTTAGAACCAGGTTTTGCCTTTGAGTCTTTGACTTAAACTGTAAATCAGCTGAGATCTTGAGATCCACCCCACTGTCTGGTGAGCTTTATCCTCTAAATGGCAATAATCTCAGGTAGAGAGAGACCTTTTTTCCCCCATGAAGTCTCTCCTGATGCTTTTTATATGGAGAAGGAAATGTGTTCCAGATCCAATGTGTTATATACATGCTAGCTCTGAAGAAGGGCTACTGTGTACATAAATTTGTCTTTTCCCAGACAACTCAGCTTCCCAATAAACCCTCTGTCCTCAAACTTTAGCCTGCCTGGTTCTGTTAAACCTTCTCATCCCATTTACATGTGTAACTCTGAGCTGTACCTTTTATCTAGAAATGGTTGAGGTTTTTTCTCATCTTTGGCATGCTTTGCTATGAACGTGTATCAGGATGAGCCCACTGAAGAACATACATTTTGCAGCGCTCTGCACAGTACTGTAGTAAAACATTTCTCCCTCCACTATGGATCTCCCCCATTTTTAGTCCACCTAGACAAGGCAAGCACCAAGTTGAAAATTCTCTCAAGAAAAAGCAGAATCAGGCCTTACATCAACAGCAACTGAAGGTTTTCTAACAGGTATTGTTCCGTGCATAATAAAAATTAAAATCCAGAAAATGTGAGTCAGAACTAGTGGCAATGACATCTGTTTTCTTAAATCCAAGCCTTCAGACAATTAAAAAAAAGCATACATTTAAAATTTTCTGATAATTTCAGCATAACTCGGCAAAGGCCTGACCCAAAGCTCCCCCAGACCAACAGGAGTTATTTCACTGGTGTTTAGCTCAGCCTCGATGTCTGAAAGGAAAGCATACAGCATTTCTCACCAATAAGAGGAGTTTCAAGGAAATACCTAAAACACCCATGAGAAAACTATTCCCACCCAGCAGGTAAACACATCGAGTTTTCTGGATTAGTGTAAGTGTGTGTGCCTGTTAAAAGGATACTGAAATCCTCTATCCAGGATAAGGAGGAATCTAGGACAAGCAGCACCTGGTTTTGGCTCTACTTTATGTAATAAAAAATACCTTGCAGACATTACCACCCGCCCTCAGAAGCTAAGCTTAGGTCTGTCGATGGCAGACCACCAGCAGGCAGGAGGGCAGTGGGAAGCGTCCTGGCAGGCCATTCGGCAGATGTCACCGGTCCCCTGGAGCCACCCGTGGCTTCTGCCCTGGCACCAGAGTAAAGGCTGCTCTACTGCTGGGGTGGGAAGAGATACGAAACACAGCATTGTACCAGTCATTACAGGCTGCTGGCACTCTTCAGAAGATGATGGGTGTTAATCACACTGGCCTTGCTAAATTAAATCCTCCTAAAGCACCTGTTTTATCATCTCCTGTGGTTAAATCTGGAAGTTGTAGGCGTTCTTTCATCATCCAGACTGCTGCAGAGTTGTTATTCAGTACTAAACAACTGCATCAAAAGCCAAAAGGAGGGGTGCTAATAGTAAGCACCCCAGCATTGGTCATCCTTCAAAATTTGTGTGTGTGTGTACATACGCACACACACACATAGGTATAAATGTATGCATCAGATACTACTATAGATCAATTTTATTCAGACTGTGTAAAATTAGGAACAAGGGCAAAGTACTGATTCATTCAAGGAATAAAGACTACTATTGCTTTAAAATATTTTTGTTTATATTTTTTTATTCCATTTTTTAAAAATTTGTAGTTAAGGGCCCTGTTAGAGAAGTCTTTTTCATTCTAATTTTAAAACTATAAATAAATAACTATGATATTAGCATATCGTGCATGTCATTTACATTAGTTAGTAAAGGAATTTTCAAAATAGTCCACCAACACTTTTGCTTAGGAAATGTTGCCTTTGATCTGAATGGGAGAGTGTTACACCAACACAGCGATTTTTAAAGTCTAATGAATTGCAAAACATCATTTTAGTATTGAAATAAATATTTATTCACATACTATATATTTATTTAAATACTATATTTAAATTAAATAGCTGAATATGACATATTTGTAACTTTTAAAACAGTAAACAATTATTTATTTCAGAGTAGAAGAGTCTACCCACAGTATTTTTGTCTAATAAGGCTTCTTCCTTCATTAAAGTGGAACCAAGTCATATGCAAACCATTTCAAAAAGAATGCTGTAACAGGTGGAATAGAATTATTCTTTTTATTATCGTTCACCACTCCAGTTGCTCACAGCAGCAAGGTCAGAAATGAATGATTTATGTTTACAATATATATTTCAATGTTTTGGTGTCCTAAGGTATTTAATTAAATGGAACTTAGGTGGTTAAAAAAAAAAGGAATAAAACACCTTTCTGTGTACAGTCTCATAAGAATCTGCCATGCCATGAAGACAAATACCTGAAAAATGCCTGTACTCACTATCAGGCACTGAGCAGAGAACATTCTTGGGGTTAGGAATTTAATCATAGTCAAAGGAGAATATAGTGTGCATTATTCTTAGATAGAATCGTTTTGTGATGGGTACACTTAAATATATAACTGCTCCCAAAGAAACCATAAGAAAAGTGATTTTCAATCTTTAAATCTTAGCACAGTGGCAATAAACACAATGCAAAATATAAACAGGCAGTGAGAGAGAAATTACTGATTTTGAGAACTTTTATCTACATATGCTGTTTAACAATAGGAATAGAAATTGTTAGTGTCTCAAAACTTGGACTGTGAGTTGTCTGAAGAACACAATTGTTTGGTTTCAGAACAGTA